TTAGTATTTATTGGACGTCGCGAGGGAGGGGGGTTTTTAAGTACTAGATGCTTTGAGCATCGATTTATTAGATTGCCTTCGGCAATTTAATTGCGATATTACATACTACTCGGTTCGGAGCTACGGAGAAGCACGCGATGGGCGGTCACGTAATGTCATATGAACCAAAAATTGTAAGATTCACACTAATATTATAGAAGCACTAAGATGCTTTGTACCGTGTAGGCGTCATACATTATTTAATTTTCAGAAAAATGAGGATTATGATTATATAATCTTTTTCCAAAACTAAGTTGCAAACTGTCTTAGAAGAATGAAAGTCAGAAAAATAAACTTATAGCTAAATTAGTAAAAAAAAGTTAAATAGTTACTTTGAAAAAAAATCTAATAGTCTTTAATGGTGTTTTTCTTGTAAAATATTGTATAAAAATATTTTTTGCAAAATTTTCAAATATTTCATGTTATTTTTACTTAATTATAAAACAATGAGTAAAATGATAAAAATTTATTATACGTATTTAAGTTTGATTTGAGTATAGAGTAGACATAAATTTTCAATTAATAAAACTTGGTCAGCAGTCTTTATAAAAATATATAGATAAAAAATAGAGAGAAAGAGTGGCATTAATTATTAATTTTAAAAATACTATTAATATTACAGTATTATTAAAATATTATTAGTATCACTAATATATATTATTATACTTAAAAATACTATTGATTATTAGTAAAAACCTGAAGGATTCTGTGATGCATGCGCGTAGGTACTTCGCCTTTCGCAGATCATCCACCGTGAGATCGCAACCAGGAGGCGCCAAAGATTGTGCCTCGTTGTAAAGAGTTTCTTGCACTTCGGGGTTACGGCCAATTAAGTTGAAAAGGAACACCAGCGTGTTGCCTAGCTGCAAACGTCCAACGACTGTGTCTTTAACCCTATAGTAGTAATTGCACTGGTTGACAGTCCGAATTATATAATAGCCAAAAAAGGACGGCTAAGAAACATCTAAAAAACGAAGTCGATGTCTGTTTCGTTGTTTCAGGATCATTTTATAAAAAGAAATTGTCACATACGCTTTTTTTTAACTTCAATTATTTATCCAGTAAAATATAAATCCACATTTGTAATTAGGTTTTTGAACTAATAAATATTATAAAATGTAACTGATTGAAAGGAACATTAAAGGGTAATTTTAAACTTACAAATTTTTATTTTCAGCTAAATTACGACATATTGTTGAAAGGTTTAATATTCATCTAACAATCCGGGAGGCAGCTGGTTTTTTTCACTCATTTCACCAAACTTACTTTATGATTTTTATCGTTATATTGAAGTAGACGATTGCTGAAATGACGGTCTGGCAGTGGCGTTGCGGGACAGGGCAAGACAGTACGCCCACAACCTTGTAAAAAAAAACAATGCACTTACGTCATAGTACCAAAGCTAGAACTTTTTTTATTAATTATTGACTTTATTAAAAATAATGTAATCATAGTCTAGCAGTGGTCCGTCAGGACGCGATGTGCCCTCAACTTTGTAAAAAAAGAATGCTCTAACGTTATACATTCCTCGATCACTCGAACTTCTATGACTTGAAAACCACTCGAATTTTTTCCTTTAAAAGCTGTTATAATCGGAAAATTATAAACTCTCGTACAAAGCTTCCGTAAGTCGAATTTTTATGTTAATTCTGTTTTACTCAAACTTTGACGAATCGAAACTTATAATTTGAAGATTTTTATATTTCTGTTGAGACTCGAATTATCGAGGTTCGACTGTAGTGCCAAAGCTTAAATTTTTTATGATGACAATTAATAATAATGTAAGAATGTCAATTACGGTCAAAGCGGATCTTGATGTTTAATAATATTTATTCGTGAATTTTACAATTTTCAGCTCATGCAAACTGCGCGCCGAATATTGTCGGTCTTGAAACGCAGTTTCAAGGTCTTCTAAACTGAATCCGGAGTACGTAATATTAACATGTTAAATTGACAAGCAATTTAATAATTTTGATGCTAATGAGCATCTATTTAATCGATTGTTACACGATATTTATCTACATGTCGCCTGAAAAAGGTGTTCTTTTCAAAGATTTTCTGGTTATCACAATATATACAAATACAATTGCCACATGACGGTAGTCGAATGGTAAGACGCTCGCCCGGAAAATTGAGAGGTCCAGATTTAAATTCGGGCTAAGGTAATATTTTTCACAATAGGTTATTTTACAGGAATTAAATAGATACTCATTAGCATTAAAATTATTAAATTGTTTAACAATTTAATATGTAATATTGTGTACTCCGGATTCAGTTTAGAACTGCGTTTCAAGACCGACAATGTTCGGTGCGTAGTTTGAACTGAAAATTGTAAAATTCA